TTACCATGGTCTATAAACGGTAAAATGCTTAGTAACAACGATTCATGAGGTAAATGAAAGTTTATGTTTAAGAGATTACAAAAGTATCGTAAATCAAATAATTGATAGACACTAGAAAAATATGTTCCGATACCCCAGAGCATAGTTCTCGAAGTTTCACACCTTCACTAATTTGTTTCGTCACCAATCCACATATAGAAAGAAAATTCTCTTCATAGCCCCAAGTTTACGAACTCGTACATGGTTGTTGAATTATGTTGCTATTACCACTTTTCCTGAATAACATTCATGATGTTTAGTGTATAAATAGTTGACAGAATTGAAAAGGAAATTGTTTCAATGAGGTCTAGTTATATATTCTGATTATTAGAGTTACAGGACTCACGTGATTAGCTAACAACCTCAATCACCACTGAGCCGGAATCCAACGGTGTTAATGTCAAACCTCAACCAATCCACGAAATCGCGCAACTATCTCCGATTGTACTGAGGTGGTGGTCCAACATCGATGGATTCATGACCTCAATCAAAAACTTTTCTATGATGTTAAAATGATCAGTATTACTAACCAAGTGGATATTTATACAATCTGTACATGTGAAATTCATTACAGTCTGATTATTAAATAAATCTTGAAAAAATCTTTGAAAAAACTTATGTATTTTATCGTATAAAATATTGACTATAATCGTTGTTATGATTTTAAAATCTCACCTGTTTATTGTTTAGCAATTGGTTCATACTATTATAGTTAACAAATTTATTAAGTACTCTAATTGTTCATATCAGTTGGTCAGTTAGTTAATAATAAACAAATCTGTTTCGGGCTCAAATTGGCATATCTCAAATTAGCGCTTAGCAAGAGGAAATCGACAAGCAGGCCAAAGCAATATTCTCAGGGTTAGTAAGGAGATACGGTGTTGTGGTCTCTAAGCTGCACTGTTTGGTTGTGAAGCTTTCTCTATCCACCACATGATCCATGAACAACGACTAACCAAATTCCAGATTAACAGAACAAGCTGCTTGCCAATTGCAGTAAAATTCTAATAGCTCATTTCTCTGTGAAGTATGTGCTAATGATATTGTCCAGGAAAATGAAAGTTGTGCGACTAAACCATCCAGATTAGAGAACACAACATCTCCAGTGTCGCTATTCCGAACAATAAATATTCTTTTTTATCTCGAATTAATGAACCTTTAGCTCAAGTGACTTAATTTGAAACAGAATTAGTATCCCAGATGAATATACTTATTATTTTAACCTGTAATATGCACTATCTACTAAAAATATTTTTTGTTTGTTTTCTGTCCAAATATATATATATATATATATATATATATATATATATATATATATATCATCTAGTCTACGTAGTGGTGAAATGCATACAGTTCTAGCTTCATATCTTGTTCCTGGTGATATTGTCTGTTTGTCAGTTGGTGATCGTCTCCCAGCAGATTTAAGACTTTTCGATCTGACCGATTTACGAATGGATGAGTCTAGTTTGACTGGAGAAACTGAAGCCGTTCCCAAATCTTCAGAGGTTCTTTGTACGCATTTTCCGATTTCTAATACTTCTGAAGTTAGATTTTCATCAACGCAAAATGGTTAGTAATAATGTATACAGAGTAAAATGTTTGTTACTTAACTTTTTCAATCTTATAATATTGCATCTTCTTAGTTGTGTTGTTGTAGGTTGATGATTGAAACAGACTTTGAGCGCGATTTTTCCTTTTTTTCTTAACAAGGCTAGGAGTTTAGTAAAATGACTTGGGAGTATGGTTTGACCGATATTGAGTGAATACTGCTGCCAATGATAATTATAAATAATGAGCACAATATATCTTTCTACTGTCTTCACTTAGCTTCATATTTTTTTAAAATATGGACCTGAATGTTTATTAATTCCATCAATCAAAGTCTCACAGAGAACCCTTAACCATTAGGATCATTGGGTCGGCGTTAAGTGGTACTGTTTCCACTCCAACCAATCCTATTTGTGACAACTATTTCACTTCTGATATGTCTAAACTCAACCAGTCATGACTTCTCACTGGAACTTTAGGAGCATCCTGAAGTAGGTGACTGTTGCGCCTTGTGGAGATCGATTTTATCTGTACGCTGTGTTCGTCACAGATTGATCTTAGTTGGGGGTACCATTGCAAAGCAAAGGATACCAAACAGCTGTTTCAAATTTGACTGAACACACATTCAACCTTTCATCTTGATAAACTCCTTGTAGGTAGATTGGGTTTTGTTAACTTTTCTTAAGAAAAACTTTTTTCCATATGCAATAATGCTTTAGTGAATATGGGCGATAACAAAGCTGTTGAACGTCTACGTGGATGTCATGATCTAACTAATATTGGATTTATGGGAACATTAGTTTGTTCGGGTACTGGAAAAGGTTTGGTTATTGGAACTGGAGAACATTCGGAATTTGGTGAAGTTTTCCGTATGATGCATTCAGAAGAAGTGAGTACTGAAACCTGCACTAAATTCACTATTTTTCTTTGCTATAAATAACAAGTAAATATCCAAAGCTATCATGACTTACCTCTAGCTACTCAAATTGAAATATCAACTCATTGGTGAACAAAGCACTATGTGCTGTTGCAATAAAATTGTACTATCTCTCGAATGGTTTCTGATTCACCCCGTAAGTGTTGAGAAAAGAAAAGAAAAGTTTTATTCGTTCTCCAACCGACAAGGGATACAAGGGAAAAGGCATGAGTATTTATGTATTCTTACGGGATCCGTGTTTTATAGCTCTTAATTCAGTGGTGCACGCTTGATTGTAAAATTGAAGTCGGTAATTATTACATACTGTCTGATTGGAGTCCAGTTTTCGGGAAATAATTCATTTCCGAACGCAAAATGATTACTATTAATGATGCCGACCATCGGAATTCTAATTCAGTGGTCTAAATATATGCTACTCACTTTAAGACATGAAGATCCTAAGTTTGGTGGACACATTTAAAAATGGCCAAATTGGTATACAAGAAATTTCCAGATGTTAAATGATTTTCTCAATAGTTTTCTAGTTGAGGTCAATTTGTGAGAAAAATGGTCTCCGGAATTCTAACAAGTAATCTTCTGGCTTAATTCACCGTCATTTTTGTGTCGAATGATAAAAAATATTTTTTAGCTTAGTGGTTTTGTCTTGTGTAATTTTCTCTCTAAATTTTCCAGAGGTCTGACGAACCAAGTAGTCAACAGAAGTAAAAAGATAAAGCTTCCAAAGATTACCGTTTACATATAAAGCCATCAGAATGGGGTCGTAGAATAAAGATAACCAGCTTACTTTTATGTGAAAGAATCACTAAGTAATTCCAGAACCACAATACAAGTCTAGTTCGAAGAACACAGCCAAAATTATTTGTGTTGTGTACACAAACTAGTCATTCTATCAAGGTCATTATATGGAATCTAAATAAAACAGAAAAGTAGTACTACTAATAGCTACATTCTATAACTTCCACTTATTATGCTAGGATTATGTTTTTATATTTGTTTATTTGCTTTTATCTAGTTACTATAATAAACTTTTGTTCAGTCCATTGGATTGTAATCTACGCAATCTACCTTTCACTAATCTATAAATATCGTCTTAGCATATTTCTATTGTAAAATAACCTATTCAAGAGTTAAAATATCTGTTTTATCATGATAGACGAACTTGACGCTGTTTGGAGTGTTTAAAAAAATAATATTTCTATGTTAAATTTTGAGATCACAGTGTGTTTTGGCATCATTCAATTTGTTTTTATGTAAATCGTCGGTTAAAAATTATTATCATGTGTATGTGTACGTGACAATACAATTAATTATGAAAATGGAACACGATCCCAGGATTTAGTATTGACAAATAATGTACCACCAGATCTACACACTGATACATTCAACCCACTAAACAAAATAGAATAGAAGCAAACTCGCACCAACCAATCAATAAATATGGTTTTATATCCTAGAGCATGTCCAGATTTCCTTCATCGGCGAGCGGTTCACTTTAACACTAATAAAAATTAAATCCACTACAAGGTTTTTAAACAAATAACAGCTGACGTTCAGATATCTGAAATATAACTTGTCTAGCTTCTTAATAATTTATTCTTTACTAATTTGAATTCAACATATTCTTGCCATATCTGTTCACATTATTTCCTCTGTTTCTGTTGCTCATTATCTGTCCTCCTGTTTGTTTTTAGATATTTTAATTCATTAATTTATTACTTTAATTTTACGGGCATTGTGTAAATATATCTATTTACAATACCATGTTTTAAAACCAAATAAAGTACTGTTTCGTATAACTCTCAGTTTCCGAGAGCTTTGCTAATGCTATTCTTCAATCTGTTCCATATTTCCTCAAGTGCGTATAACAGACTCCAGAATCTGGTTCAAGAAAATACCTTTGGTTTACTTACTACATACTAATAGTAACCAATCTACTAAAACAACAACCGTTGCTGCGGTTATATCAGTAATATGATTGTGATAAGTCTTATACTCGAACGCTAGATTCGGTCCCTAAGCTCACCTAGTAACCCCCAGGCTAAATCTACACAGCGACTTGAACACGAGAGAAAAGTGCGAAATATGGAAGAAACACATTATTCCAGAGGTTCTTGTTTATGTACGGAAAATCTAGGGTTTTTATAGTATTTTAGATGACCTTGGGTCTCCGGTAAATTCCTGAACGCTACTAAACATAGTAGCAGTATGGGTAATCATCCAATCAGAAACTCGACATGCGACTTTTCACTTTCTAAATGTTTCTGGCAAACTTTCTAGTGAATGCTAATTTGATAAGATGCTTCTCAGCGTTTCCAGAGCGTTTTTCGGCTTTTTCCGAGTTTTCTGGATCTCCCCAATAATTGAACTACATTAATGCTCATAAAAGTTACATTTCTGTTTGTTATCCCCCTATAATGGCGTTTACAGTGAAACAACATTGCATCTGGTGTCCTTATTAGTCTAATAGCAACATAACATTGACAACTATCAGTAATCGTTAGCTGCATGAATGGTCCTCTTTTGTAGATCCTAAGTCATTTTGCTGCTAATGATTTGAATCATATAAGCTATCACTCAAACAACTATCATTATTCTTATTGATCCCTGAAGTAGAGGACACTTTTTAATCATATCGAAACAACTGTTGTCCCTTTATGTGTTTATTAAGAGTTTGATAACCCTATTGCAAATTCTTCAAATGGATAACAAACATTTCAACATCGTGCTACTAGTCGTCGTCAATATCTGTTTTTCTTTGTAGGCCATCTGTTTAAAAGAAAATCACAGTTTCCCTCTTTAATCCAGTTAAAGAATCAATTATCAAAGTGACAACTACATATTTTTATAAATAAGTTTATTTCACTGTACCTCTTATCATTTTATGCTTATTGTTCGTCATTGATTTAATTCCATATTTCGTTTAGGCACCACGTACACCACTTCAGAAGAGTATGGATAAGTTGGGAAAGCATTTATCTGCTATCTCTTTAATTATTATTAGTAGTATAGTGATTATTGGTCTATTTCAAGGACGCCATATTTTAGAATTGTTAACTATTGGCGTAAGGTATGTGTATCCATTGATTTCGTTATTATTTATTGCATATATGTGTATGAGATCATACTGAATGTAACAAAAATGCATGCCAAAGTATTTTAACAGCAAAAACCTCTGATGGAAATAAATCATCATCTAGTGTATCAGCCGTTACCCGCTTGCTAAACTGCAGTGAGTGTTGGTAACCCATAAAATTTAAATGGTGATCAAGTTGCTAGTTATCATTATATTAGCCATTTTATTTATTTCCTCCTCCCCATGCGATGATTAGTTTCGTAACCACTACACAGTTTAATAATCCTTTCAAAATCTGTACTGATGAATTGATTTTTGTTTTGTTTATCTGTTTCACTTGTGTCATAACTGTATGACTTAAAAATCTTTTCATGTTATAGTATAACAGAGTTGTTCAATTCATTTCATTTTACTAATATATACAGTTTGTTCCATCTTCGGTCGATGTGTGTATATTTGTGCTAGATCCTACATTATTTATGAATAATTGACCATTGCTTAGTCCAGTGAGAAAATTATCAGTTTGACTGTCTTGGTCGCAGTAAGGGTTTACTCCCTCAGAATCAAATTTGGACATTTCCGAACAATGATAAGTAACATTTACAAGTTTTTCTACTTGCGATATCAATATGCTCATTTGTGTTATTTCAATTTCAAATATGAAAACTCGTGTAAATGTCTAGTTCATCTTCAAACTGTAATGGAACATTACTTTATATTAACAATAATTTAATTCTCACTATTCTTTATTCAAAGTGTTCCTTCCTCTGTCTCTCTATCTCACACACACAAATCCCTTATAGTTTAGCAGTTGCAGCAATCCCTGAAGGTCTTCCTATTGTAGTAACTGTCACTCTAGCTATTGGCCAAATGCGTATGGCAGCGAGAAATGCGATCGTTAGACGACTTCCAGCTGTTGAAACTCTCGGTAAGCATTAGTTTTTTAGTAACTTTGTAGCTATTTAGATTTCAACATTATGATTATATACACAATAACAATACTTCATTTCACAATATCTAGTCCTGAAGTTTTTCACAGTATGATTAGGAAACGTTTCTAATAGCACGTTATGGTTAAGCAATACAAAAGTTGTTATCCGGCTAATCTGGCTAAAAAATACACTATTGAATTTCATAGTCTCAGATCACGGATCGACTTTAATTGGATAAACAGTCAGTGATGTAAAACTACGAAATTCAATAATCTGCGCGATCCATTATCTACTACTGAGTTCTGTACGAAAAATAAATCTTGCTAGTCTGAGTATGTTAAATTAACTATAGATATCTGAATATTATAATTGTTCTCGCCTATCAGTACGCTAACATGTCATTTACTTAGTCCAGTGTATCATTTTATTTCTGAGAATATATTCACGTTGTGGAACTATTTCTGAAAAAGATGCAGCATTGATTCACTCTCAACCGAAAGTATTGGAACAATGCGCACAACATTTTGAAGAACTATTTAACTGTTTGCAGCTAACCTTCGATTGCCTACTTTTACGAAACAGTCCGAATGGAGTGTCAACATAAACCAACCGACTATGAATGAAGGAGAAAAAACTATAGCTAATCTAAAACAGGGGAGGTCTGCAGGTTCTGATTGATTAACAGAGTATGTGGAGAATATATATCTAGTTTACGTACTGAGACAAAATCAATCTACCGTGATATTATCGTCATTCTATTTGCTGAATTATCTTACAGCATATAATAAAACTATCAATAATAGTCATGGGAACGACAAATGTTGTTTAAAAGTTATATTTTAAATTCTCAGATTAAAATAAAGCGTCAAGACGTTCGGATAATTGAAATCAACTTTAAATTATAGTATGTCGTCTCTCAAAATTAGTTTACTTCGGTTATTTTCGTATGCAATGCTTGGTAATTTGCTCCTTGTAACATGTTTTAATCTCCACAGTCAATCTTCCAGAATAAATAACCGCTGTTTAAGGGTCAACCTTTAACAAGTTTATAGTCCCTCGATAACGTGAATGTAACTTTTTATATTTCAGACCTTCGTTAACCATATCTCAGCCGTTTGGTAACGTTAACTCATAAATGACAAACTGTTTGTATAATCTTTTTATCAATGTAAAGTGTTATTTACATTGGCTTAAATAATAAAACACCATAAAATGATTCAACTAACATTTACCAAAATGCATTATCTGAATCTAGTAATAATAACAACAAGCAAGTATAAAGTCCATTATATCAGCAAAATTACAATTCTTTATATACCTTTTCAGCTAACCGAAAAATTACCGTGAGAAAGCAACTGAATATAGTGGTATGGGTTGATCTATTCATCAAGAAAATAGCCTATCCATAAAAATTCTTCAAAATATGTTCTGGTATGGCCAACAGCTTGGCTAGTTGTACTTTTTATTTTTCTTTTCCCAACTTCGTTAAGTATCGGGTAACCTTGGACCTAGATTTCGTGACAGTCATCACTAGGGCGTAACTGTAATCTTGCGGGAACTGATTCTTCCTGCGGATTTCGAACCCATCTCTGAAACGCTATCATTGAGCTATTCAGGCCGCGAATGAATTTCAACCTTCTTTCTAAACTTAAATGAAATAAAATATGTTTTTAAAAAATACTTTTCTATACTTGTTTGTCTTATTCAGGTTGTGTAAATGTAGTTTGTTCAGATAAAACTGGAACCATGACAAAGAATGAAATGACTGTATCACATATAGTTACTGGTTCATTAGAAAGATACACAATTCCGATTCAACAAGCCAATAAACACACTGATACTGCTTGTGTAAAATTAGATATAAATTATGCCGATCCTTCTAATTATTTGACTGTATCTTCTGCTGCCACTGCTACTACAACCATTAAACTAGATAACGTTTCACTATCAAATAAATTAATGTCAAATCATATCAATCCTCATTATCAGATGTCAGCAAATGCTAGATCAGTTTCGTTTGATGAATTACGTACACCATATTATTATCCACCATCTTTGGATAGTATAATACAGGTAAGGTTGTAAGATCTGACCTAGTCAATCACTTGTATTCTTAAATATGTTTCTAATTAAAAGTTGTACAGATTTTTATTTTGTTTAAACAACACTTAATTTGATTCCAGATAGTTCATTCAATTATTTCATGTATAAATATGTTCAGTTATCGGTCTTTTTTCTTCTTGTTCTGTTAAGGAAACTTATTGAAATACTTTGTACTGAAGATCCCGTATTGTACTAAGCATATAATATTGAATAAAGCCATTAATAATAATAATAGTCATATCAATATACCTTACTTGTTTGCTCTTTTCTCGTCACTATCTCTAGTTTACTTAGTTTATGGTATTTAGAAATATGTACGTACTTCATTTAAACAAAAGCCTGTACATTGTTCTATTCGTTTATCTATGTAGAGATGATTTAATACAATCAATTTAACCGCTTATTGTTTCAATCAACCTTATCTGTTATCACACAAGTTGGTCCATATCCCAGTAGTAGTAGTTGTCGTTGTTGTGCTGTTTTCTACCTTTTTGCGCTCACCATTCTATTTACAAATGTAAGGTCTTATCTACAAAATAAATTTATTCAAGCACAAAATATGTTCAAGATTCACAAGTCAGTTTTCAATCATAAACTAGGACTAACTCACGTTTTTTAAACAGGAAACGTTTATTTTTCTACACAAATAAAACTATCTATCAATCTCTGCGAACTGATGTCATGTTTTCATAAGACCGCCATCAACCTTTTTTTCAACCTAATTCAGTGTAAGCAAATGGATCGTGTCCTAGTTGATTGTAACCTAGGGGTTCGTTGATATTGCTTAAAGATACAACTTAGTTTTACTTCGGATAGTATCCGATAGTGGAATTCGAGTCATGCTTTTCCTTCTGTTATGGACTTGTCAGCTGGATATTAACAACAGAAAAATACAAACCTTCACAACTACCGGTAATTACCGCCCTCGATAAACATGTTAGTGGTTATCTCAACACAGATACCTAATAAATAACACTGTAGAGTTTGTAACTCTAGTTATTATTTTCAAGTCTCAGTTTTTGTATTAACACGGATCAATGTACGTTTGGATGACAAATCTCAAATAGAACAGCGATGAATTGCTGGATTTTGCTATTATCCACTATTTTAAATGTAAACAGATGGATTTTTCTTTTTTGCCAGATGTGCTAACATGTTAGTTTATAATATAATTCTTTGTTTACTATTTACAGGACCTAATATTTTGACACGGATTTCAAATAATCTTGATACACAGTGTTTGTTCTTGTCTTTTTTAGATTGGTTGTATTTGTAATAATGCTACAATTCGAGATAATCAGTTATTTGGTCAACCCACGGAAGGTGCACTATTAAGACTGGCCTCCCAAGTATGTTAATTCGCTTATTAATTTTGGTAAAATCGTTCTCAATATTCCTCCTTTTTAGTCATTGTGGTCATTCTATCGATAGAGTCCTTTAAAATATTGTTTATTGAAATACAAAAGGTAAACTAATTACAGGTGAAAATGAAATCTGACAATTCTTTGTCTCAACTTGTAACTCGTCACTAATTAAACAATTATGACATCGAATAAGGATCGGGATTGATATTTTACAGTATACAGAATATACTGTCCAATCTTATGCATAAAAATGCAATAATTCGTTGTCGAGAACTTTAGTCAATTATTTTCAATAGTTCTCCCATTGATTTCAGTCAGTATGATGATGAGGACCGTTTATCAACATTCATTAAAAAACATTTTTATGAATAAGAACTATGGAGTTTCATCGTAGTCGATTTCGCATAATTTAGTGACTACAAAGCACATAAGTCAAGAATGAATCTGTTAGTATCGGATTTCATAAAACAAATCTGTCAATCTTAATCAATTTTGAGTCTGGTACAAATATGCTTTAGCCCAAGAAGCCAAACCTAATAAGCACCGCGAGATGAAATTAACAAGATAAATTGTGAGGGAATCGAAATAATTTAGTATCAATGATAATGACAAATACTGAACATTAAGAATATGATTCAAAAAGGTGGAGTGAAAGGGTATATATGCAGGAATACTGGAACTCAAGATGTAGAGGAAGATAAAAAGTGGATTCGTCTGTGCCATTGTGGTTGGCTGTTGACCATGTCATTCACAGTCTCCGACCACCGATCTCGGTTATTGCTCATAATTTAACGAGGTAGTCTTCATTTACTGATATAGCTTAAACCAATATTTAATAACTTTTTAGACTGCTATCATATCTTTGTGTCTCCTCCTAGCTTTCTTCGAACTTCCAAATATACCAGCTAACAATGAACGTTGAAGTACGCGGTAGTTAAGCGTAATTAGCGCACTTCCCGATCACCTCAGTCGATGAAAATTTACAGCCTTTTCGACCGATTTAGTGTCTTTTAGTTCTTGTTAGGGGTTTAAAGTCGACAATTGAATGGTTACATAACTAAGAAAACACTGAAATTCATAGCTGTTTTGACGTTATTCCTTCATGATAATTTGTTCTTATTTGTCATGATATGTAATTCCTTGTCTTTCATATACTTCTTGTTGATATTTTTTTTCGAAAATAGTTTCATGCACTAGATGAACGTGCATTTTATACTCGTTTACAAGAATGGCCATTTAGTTCCGAGTCAAAACTTATGATTGTTAAATGTGTTCGAAATAATCAATCATCGGTAAGACATGAGTATCATTAATTTAACTGAAGTGTTATTTTCATCAAAACTAGTCTCTTGCAATGTGGATTTCATTTTTCGATGATATATATATATATATATATATATATATATATATATATATATATATATAGTATTTAATGTATTACCGAAAAAAATATAATCATAAGAAACCAGAAAGCATTGGAGCTCGTCAGGATTGATGGTTGTGTAAATATCATAAGTCATCCAAGGTTGGAAAGCTGAACCATCGAATATTTTACGGTTCAGGATGTCTGAATAAGCTAAAAGATGTATTCCCTTTCTTTACACTTACTCAAGCAGCTGTTCAATTGGGATGACTAGTAATATGTAATTAACAAACTGATTAAATATTTGCACAAATCATTGGTATATGTATATATATTTTGATTGTGACTGAGACGATGACATACAGTTTAAGACTTTGACTGAGAGCATGATCGAATCCAGAATATTGTGATCCTACAATGGGTATGAAACCTTTAGACCTTCAGTCCGAATCGAAATAGTCCCCTTTTTTGAAATCACTCATTTTGCAATATCCTCATTGATAATCGATTGTTACGATATGATTGCAGTTTGTTAGTTACGGATCCCCAGTAAAACCCATCTGGAAAGTAATCGACAGTGAGAAAATGTGTTGTCCGTTATCTGTTTATAATACCAACATGCAAGCTTCCTATACTTCATGATTTAAACTAATTCTGTATTTTTTTCATCTAGCCGAAAATACTTATTTAACACTCTGACACTGTTGTCAACTGTAATTGACTTATATTTTCGTTTAAATGTTCATTTAGTCACTGTATTTGTATTCTCTTTTTTTCACAGACTCCTGATGAACCAGTCTACTTTGCTAAAGGAGCTGTAGACCAATTGCTTAATCGTTGTGCGTTTACATCTTTTTCAAACGATTCTGCGATTTCAATGCAATCATCACCATCTGATAGTCATCCATATATGTTATCGAATCGTTATTCTAATAATAGTTCTATAAAGCCAATGGATTTAGAGACTAGAAAAGCAATACTCAATGAAGCATCCATACTTGGTAACTTAGGTTTACGTGTATTAGCATTGGCTAAAGGTATTAACTCTGAACAAATGATTTTCCATGGATTAGTTGGTTTAATTGATCCACCACGTCCGGGTGTAAATGAGTGCATTCGAATATTATATGAATCTGGTGTTCGCGTGATTATGATAACTGGTGATGCTAAAGAAACTGCATGTACAATTGGTGAGTATTGGTAATACAGTAATTGATTTATTGTTTCGCTGTTTATGTTTATACGAAATGTGATGATATACTTCGAGGTATTCTGTGTGTTGATCGATTTCGAACTGCAATCATCATCGTCAAGCTTGGTTTGTATTTATCGTTAATTTCCACTGTATTAGTAAGCGATTCTCAATAAATAAAAATATAATGGATACATTATTAGTATCACTTTATCGTCAGGGCTAACTGAATTCTTTCCAACACGTCCTCCATTTGTTCATCAAATCAATATTGACTCAACGACAACAATACACACTGTACTTTGTTCCTTATCACATAAGAGTTATTAGTAAGCATCACTGATTCTAAGTTTTGTACATGTTCAAGGTTAAACCTACCTTTCTGTGGTGTTATCCATCATCTTAACATTTACAAGTGTTTATTTGAGATAACCTTTTTTTAATTGTTTTCTCTGTGGTCATTAATTTTACAAATATATTATTAATTGTGTGACACAAATTTTATACAATATAGATATTAAGCATTGTGTATCACATAAATTAATGTAATAAATATTAATAGATTTTACTATCAAGATTTCACATTAATGATAAAAGTAAGTCACTTTTGAGGTAAATAGTAACTAGTTAAATCGACTTTTAGATTAAATGAAATCTTAAAATTAATAATTGGGATAAATGAAAGTAGGTAACACAGATTAAGATGAATGGTAATAGTAATGTCATTACATCAGAGTCATTAGTATTTAAGGGTGATCATGACAGATTCAATCACCCTCTAATACTACATACCCTTATATTTTTTGTGCACAAAGAATTACTAGATATGCGTCGAAAGGGAACGTTACATTTGTGCAAGGATAAAACCAGGCACCAACGAAACGGCTTACCTGGTTAAATGATGAGTACGCAAAGTGAAATTCTAAGTTAAATCGACCCTTGTCTATGTACCTTCAGTCAGTTTAGTCTCTTAAACTAACGAAGTTGGTACCAATACTTACTGAAATATTTATTCTGAAGAATCATTTAGTGCTACAGTTACAAGAGGTTACGTGAAACTGGAATAATATTAATCTAGTAAGATATAATAAAAATGAAATAGGATCCAGTTTCCTCATTAGGCTATCTAACAAATAATTCGAAAACATAATCCTGTTCTAATCCTAAAACGCAGAATGATACTTCTTAGTATCGGGTCTCTACCTATGTGCAACTCGTATTATAAACTAGCAGCTATCTGTTAATATTGTTCCATCCCTACATCGGATCGTAACTCAACGGTTGAATTATTTTATTTTCAAACTCTGATCTTTGAAGAGGGCTAGGTTATATCCTTCTCTCTTACTGATTGTGTTTGGGTACAGAATGCAATAAGTCGTATTTGTCTCTTGAGTATCATTCTTCATAGAATAGGATATTCTTCACGTTTCCATTGCTCAGTGAATACTAGTGACTGGACACCGTGATATTTCGGGAAGTATACTAGCTCTCATAAACGTTGATTATGTATGGATCATTCTTGTCCCGAAAAATCTCACCCTTGTAACAATATAACTATCGTTTAGATTCTAGTGTGGTATACTAATTCCTTTTATTGTTGTAGTTCAATATTTGTTTGTAAAATTATTTGTTTATACTTGTTTTTTCCATCGATATCGATTTTATTACTTTAGGCTCTCGTTTATCTCTTTATCGCCCTGGTGATCTGTGCCTCAGTGGTGAAGAAGTAGAACGAATAAGCGTTAAACAATTAATGTCAGTTGTACGTAATGTTACTGTGTTTTATCGATCCGGACCGAAGCATAAGTGCAAAATCGTCAAGGTAATTAATTACCCAATAATTTACAAAATGTACATTACATCAAGTATTCTCCTGTTTATATTCGATATTCCTTTATTTTTGTATTTTATGTGAATGAGATAATTAATCAGCATTATTCAGATTATCTTTCACATATGTGGACTGTGTTTTGGTCAGTATCCAGCGGATGAAATCCAATAAGCAGGTTTCCCCAGTACATATGACTGGTTTGTCGATGTTCACCTGAACCCGTGTTGATTTCCCCATCGAAACTCGAACCTCTCTCCTTTCCAGGATGATCAATTAAAGAGTACCAAGACTGTCGTAATTCAAATAATTTTTTTAATAAGGCCCAAATAGTGGAAACCTCACATGATATGTTTTTGTACTGATCACGGTGTAAATCTATACAGATGTTATCTTTTATGCGACTCCCGAATGTTTTATTTTCATGGTTTGCTTGACCAGTGAACAATAGTTGAGTCAGTTGCCCGATAATTAGCGACTAAGAACCTAACGCATCGGTTTAAGTTGCCATGCAACATCACAACGAGATGAAATCGAGATGAACCTCAGAATATTAGGAGTAGTAACAGTATTAGTGGTAATAAAGACCTGGAATATGCAGTTTTACGTCAGAAGAGAGAATGAATTCGTGGAATAGGAAAGTGTAATATGATTTTAAAATTCAAGGGAAGACTAGTGAGTTAATTTGACCTACTACGACTAATTATGAGCCATGCCAAACATTGTGTCATTTATCTATTCCCCTTTAGTCCCATTTTGTATATTTCATTTCTAAACTCATGCAGCAGCTCGCTCATGGTGCAAATATTGTTCTGTCTAAACTATCTCAAGTCACTGACTGGTTGAAATTTGAAAGCTACCACCAAATGCAGATTCCAAACCAGCCTTCGTGAAACGACGTTTACCATTCAAACTGGCTTCCCTCATCGTTCGCACACTAATGCAGATCGAACAACAAATAGGGTTTGCTATGTCTTTAGAAAGTCTCAACATCTATGTCTGTAGTCTATCCGAGGCTCGTATTCAATACTAGTGAAGTATCACAAATTCACTCTCCTCCGTAGATTCGAAAAGCTTGTTTTGTGTATACTTATCCGGAGATCCTGTGGCATCTTCATCTGGCTTTGGTGTCGCACTAAGCTATAGAGCTGAGGTAGCACTGACCGATTGGATTTCCATTAACCGTGGATTATGTACTTTTAGATTAGAAAGCCCCATCAAATAACGAGGAAATCGGTGTGAGAAACTATTTCTTTGTGTTATCTCCGCCTACGTCCCGATAGATTGTAACCTGAATGAGTTTTACCACCAGTTAACAGTTTTTTACAGAAAGCGCGTCCGGAAGATATTGTAGTACTAGCCCGATATTTGAATGAGCAGATTAGGTGGTCGATCGGGACTCGCTGGTCGCAGATCGGATAACGACGACCGTCTCTTGCAGCTTGCACAGAACACAACCTGTTTCTATCGCCCATATGTTAACCGGCGCCCTCCATCTGCATCTCAAAACTGGACTAAGATGTTGCATCCTTGATCTGTCTACTCGATAATATATTGGAGAGAGCTTGTCTCGGTCTAGGTTGAAACCTTGATACGATAGGCTAACTGGCTCAACCTTGAGGCTAGGAAATGCGTGAGTCCGAATTGAGACTAACGGGCTTGGGAAGATAGACGAAAACTATTCTATCATCTGATTGTTTGACAATCAAGAGAGAGAGAGAGAAGACGAATCAACTGGAACACTACTCGATTTATTCCCGATTCAGATTAATGTAAAAGGAAGTATGAATAAGTAGATGACTAACACGAGCACAACACACAAACAGTTAAAAAAGTAAAACTGTGTCGAAACTAAGGGTTAGGTAGGAAAATAGAGTACAGAACGTTATGTTTAAATTAAAATAACTTTGAAACATAAAAGAGTGTGACAGTGAATCATATATCATACTGTGGGAGAGAACAAACCAACCTTAAGCTGGAAAGGAAATTAAGAAAAGACGCCGCAGGTAGATTAGACAGATATTGCAGAAACCATCGAAATGCATCACGAGGAAAGCTCTAACTTGAAGATGAAAGGAAAAGAAGATGACGAAGGAACACTTTGCGTTGGGAATTGTAGGCAGACATCAAAAGGGTGAATAACAGATAGAAACAGCTGCCCAGGACGGAGTTCGATGGAGACTCCTGGCGGCCGATGCTCTTCCACGAGAGGTAACGGGCGTACGTAAATTAGTAAGTATAGTTGAGACTATATACCGTTTTTTGGACTTAACAGCCAGAAAAGGGAGAGAAGCTACCGAATCGATGATCAATAAGAGCTTGGTGTTGCCTCAAGGTTATTAGTGATGGTGTTTTTGTCACAAGATATTAGTGAGCGGTCATACGTCCTAACATTTACCTAATACCCTTCATCTAACTTCAGTATCACTTTCTCAGTGGACCCTAGATACACAAGCTCCTCTTCGGAGACACGATCAAATATCAGTAGCCTGCAAAAATCCTTTGTTTTTGAATCAAAGACTGTTATAACACTTCAAATGAGACAAAATTCGTACTCATTAATTAAATTATATACAACACTTTACAAGCTTACTAACTCTTTCAATATTAATCTTGTAAACAACTTGTTTGTAGAATTTAACACATGGGTATAATTTTATGCGGACATAACACTTTAGTTTACGAACTCAAGATAATCATTCTTGATGAACTGTCTTAACTAACAAATCTGATAAAATCGGCGATATATTAAAACAGATAAATGGAAGGGATTTGTTGAGCATGTTATTTAGTTCGATATTATATGAATTAGTATTTGTGTTCGGGTGTCTGCTCTGTTTTAAAATGTAATTTCTCAAACTACTGTACTTTTACACAAGATTATGCTTTAGTTTTCCATATCTTGTTTTGATTCATCCGACTTGTGTATTTTAGTTTACATCACGGGCTGACTGTAACTCGAAAACCAGAAAACACTAAATAGCTGTTTCCAGTTAGTATGAAACTCATCACCAACATGCATTTACGACCCTTCCAGGATTCACACTTTAAGGGCTTTTTAACCAACCCATTTAAATCATCTTTTGTATGAGACTGGAATCCCCGATAGCGACTGATAGTAGTTGCACAATATCAAAAATTGACTGGAGTTTAAAGTGCGAGCCACGGCATAGCAACTCACTGAATTTAAAGTTCTCGTCCTAATCTCTGAACATTTTGAGTTTGATTCTTGGCGACCTCTTGGATCCCCACCGTTTAGGAGAGCTCTCGTACTTGGATGAGACTTGTCTAGTGCTTCTTTGTTTTCAAATAGTTGCCCAGCTAAATTCACTGCCTAATGTAAAATACAAATTTATGGTTCTCGACAACTTCACTACACTAATGATTTTCCTATCCATGATATCAAAATAACACTCAAATCTACGTTTCTCGTCAAGGTTTTGATCTCTAACTTATTTTTAACCTTAAAAAATCATTTCATAACTAAATTGTCTAATCTATAATTCATCTTTTCTCGCCTATAAGGCTCTACAACAATCCAATTTAGTTGTCGCAATGACTGGTGATGGTGTGAATGATGCAATCGCATTAAAGTCATCAGATATCGGTATTGCAATGGGTCGTACAGGAACAGATGTATGTCGCGAAGCTGCTGATATTGTTTTATTAGACGATAATTTTGCCACAATTTTAGCTGCTATGGAAGAAGGCAAAGCATTATTTCATAATATAAAAAATTTCATCGGCTTTCAATTAAGCACGTAAGTTGGTGGGTGGGTGCACAAATAATTTATTTCTCTCATTTGTTCTACATTCCTACTGCTTAGCAGTTGATTAATTACTTCTTTGAGTTTGATTATTTTTCTGTTTTTAAGTAGACATTCTTTGATTTCCTTTATAAAAAACAAGAATATTGATAGACAAACTCGTTGAGAATTGTGCCGGCTTATAAAAATGTTATGTATTATTCACACTCTCATTAGAGATTCACTTTATGGTTATAAATAACTCAGCAATTTGATTAAAGCAGTTAACCTATATATTTTGAAAATACCGTACATACACTGAACTATTTATAAATTAAAATTAGCTACTGTCAGTTTAACGCATTTAAATGTGACCTATAGAACGGATGTTTATAGTGATATGCATTTCATCATTATTTTTGATGTCGCTTCAATCAGCAGTTGGTGAACATACAAGTCTTCATCTATCATCTTGCTTTATTTCTCGCATCGGTATACTAGTCATGTTCCATTTTAATAACTATCAGGTAGCAGTTATTCCTCAGTCATAAGAAACAGCTGTACCGTTTTCGGTATCACCATTATATCACAACAATTGGCTAACTGTTAAGTGGAACACGAGTACATTCTCGTGAATCATCCTATAACGGATCGCCATGAAAAATCGAAAGTATGAATAATTTGTGAAAATAATGGGATTTGCTTTTTAACCAAAAATGACAGGTTGATGTGGATTATTCTATTATGTTTACGGGTACCTCATTTTGTGCTTATCCTGTTATAAAAAATGATCTAAATATGTTTCTCCTAGTTGATCATGTCATGAACTGACTGTGGATTATTTCATTATTCTATTTTTTTGCGAAATTGTTCACTCAATAGCTCCGTTACTTAACAACCCATGTGTATGGTTACCATTGTATGCTTAATCTCGGCAGATAAATAATTTACTGCAATAACCAACTGTAGAATGGACTGTAACTTCAGTATAATTCCAAAAAGATTTACCTTACAGACTGCTCATGTTACATACTCAAATTCGTACCTGGCCGTTTAATGTTTAAAACATATGACATTCACCCTTGGTAGTTTTACATACTAACCCTCATTATTCCCATTAAAAAATTTTTTGTTTAGCGTCATGTATATGCTTTTTTCGGTAACACGTCATTCTCTAACTATTTTTACAGATCTATAGCTGCTCTAGCCCTGATTGCTTTATCTACATTACTTTCACTCCCAAGTCCATTGAATGCTATGCAAATTCTTTTTATTAATATACTAATGGATGGTCCACCTGCTCAAAGTCTAGGCGTAGAACCACCAGATCCTCATGTGAGTTCCGTTCATTAATCTTATTTTTCAAATTAAAAAAACTTATAGCATTCATACTCTAGTCCTCTCTCATTCTATACAAATGGATAGATAGATAGATAAAACTCGTATTTGGTAATCGGAGCTGGTCACTAAAGTGTACCTGCAATCTTGAACTAGCTCATGCATATTAAGTGGAAGAATGTTCATCATCAAACAATTTAGCTTAATTAACCAACGAACAATCTCGAGTAATTTTTATTATATGATTTTACACACACAGCTTGGTAGGTTGCAAATCGGATAGTATTGCTATTGCCTACACAGACCAATATAGTTTGAAGCCAAGTCCACAAATTTGTACTTGATAAATAATTTAAAATAAGCTCCTAAACTTTGTCAATCAGGTTTACTAACTTCTGTTTGACCAATAATTAATTGTCATTGAATGCATCTGTATTTTGAATATAATTATTTTTCTTATTGCATCATTTTTCTTATCTTGTCTCTTTTCTTCTGGTAATGTAGGTAGTTAGACAACCTCCCAGACGAGCAAATGATTCTATTTTGGATGGTCGTTTAATGTTCAATGTATTGACAGCTTCATCACTAATTGTCTCTGGTACTTTATGGATTTTCTTTAGAGAATTATCTGATAATAAAGTTACACCACATGATACAACTATGACTTTTACATGTTTCGTTTTATTTGATATGTTCAACGCATTAAGTTTTCGGTCACAGGTAATAATAATCTTTATTATTATTGTTTCTTTGTTGTATTCATTAATCATTAGGATTTATTTTAAGAAGGAATGATTAGTACTGTCCACAGGCTACCGAATTTTCATATTTATGGTTTGTTTAATAATTGAACGAACTAAGCTACGGCACTTGTTAGTTATGAACATTGATACACAAATAAGCAGTCCTATTATTCTGAATCCTCACTTTTCTAATTTATTCTGACTTTGATTGTCCATCTTTATTCAGTAGCTACTAACTTCTGAAAGTCGTAATTTCCGTATATGTACACGGATGCACAATAATTACGTGACAACATCCCCACACATTCGGAAGCAATTTTCCACTAGTTTCTAGTCTATGATTCATCAGATCATCCACTGTACACATCAACCCTGACAATTTTTTTTCTTGAAGTAAGAAATATGTTATGTGGTGACTAAGAAAAGTGAAATGATGAAGCAAGCTAAAGAACCTAACTCCTTAGGATTCCTAAAAGTGTTTTAATAGTAGAAATGGAGATGAAGCAAATGTATTACTACAAATGAGAATTAATTTTCAGACGATAAGGTCGATGCATCTTAAATCGTGAGATACAGTTCTAAAGACCCGAGTTCACGTATTTATTGGGTGGATTACGTATCTGTTGTCCGTTAATACAAGTAGACATTGGATGGATTGTATCTGCCTTTTAATTTATTATGCTACATGAACTCTTAGTTATAAGTACAAATCCTCAATGATTAAAGCCATCAACTTTCATCTATTGGGTTCCAAACCTACTTCGGTTCCCGTCACCGAAGTTAATATCACCGACTCTGATACACACAAAATTGTAGCGAAATACTGAAACTTGAAATTGGTTACCAAATTGTTTTGATTTCTTTAACAGATTTCAAGATACCACTATTACAATCAACCTTGATTCGTTTATAGTGACCATCTGACAGTATTGACTACTGTTACTATATAAATATAATTATCATCTTTATTCTATCCAATATGAAAAAAGTTTTACTAACGCAAAAGTTACTGATTTTTCCACAGGAGGATTGTAAAACTTGTATATTATATTTTATTATGAACCTTCATATGATAAAGCAGAGCATCTCAGCCCCCTAATTCATGAATACTTTCACGGAATCACTTAGTTACACAACATTACCCCTTACTCCTTACCGAATGTATAATACAGTCTGTTGGTAAATTCTACTTACTACGTTCAGCTTTATATGCTTCCCCATAACCCATATTATTTGTGTATGGATCACTAATACTAACCAGCTAACCAAACCGTAGTAGATCGAACTGATTTCAAATTCAACATTCAGTAATTGAAAATCAATAACCGTAACTGTCAAGTTAACCCTTCGCATGTCACAATGTGATGGAGTTTTTGTCACACTAATTTACTATTAGGTTTGAAAACAATCAATAATACAGTGAGGATATGTATATTTATATATATCTGTTCTCATAATTGTCACTTTTTTTTATAGAATAAATCGATCTTCTCATTGGGATTTTTCTCTAACCGTTTGTTTGTACTAGCTGTTGGGTTGTCTTTATTTGGTCAGTTATTGGTAATATATTTCCCACCATTGCAAGCTGTCTTTCAAACAGAAGCATTGACATTAAAAGGTAAATGGTTATGTTTTTCTTCTATACACTTCATATGATTATTTACTAGTCTGGTAACCTATATGGATATGCAAGGATTTACGTCTTCACCTCGTTACTTTCCTGAGTACTTCTGACGTCTTTAGTTTAACTGAAATGTGTAGATATAGCCTTGAATTTAATTTTCCTGCTGGTTGACACTAATCAACGAAGTGTGTGTTCACTTTCCAGGGAACTCATCTTTCATGTGATATTTGGGCCCGCATGAATCAGACATTACTGCTAATTTATTTTACTTGTGACTGACCTTCTGTATGACTGTGATTCCCCATTGATCAATACTACAAAGACTACAAATATACTACATTGGTTACTGTTTAGTGATCATATTCATTGTAAATTACTTTCATATTAACATGTAAAATGTCCACTTTGATACCCATAACCAGATGTGTCTCTTTGCTTGCTAATAAGTTACGGTGCGCTATCACTCCAAACACATTAAAATGTCTTAATTTTAATATCAATTTAGTGAAAACAAAACAATATTTAATTATCCATCATTTGTGAATTTTTTTCTATTTTTTCTCTTCTATAGATTTAGTTTTATTAGTTTGTTTAACGTCATCGGTATTTTTCGTGTCTGAACTACGTAAACTTGTGCGCATACGTTCAGATTTCTATTTCTGGGTTACGTATTTTCTGTCATTTATAAAACTACCAAGACGAGTAAAAATGGATGGTAATATGGTTTGACGTGTTGATTTTTCTGCCTTGTTAAAATAATGTCTTTTTTCTGTAAACAGATAATAAACGATTTTATGTTAAAATATACACGCACACATTACGAAGTCTACTTTTTATATGTATATGTGAGGTATACACATTTGTAATAATTTTTAAATGTACCTTGTTTAGGTAACAATGTATCTCAAGCCTACTTTAATTCTCCTATCTTTTAGTAAAATACTAACAGTTGAGAGAATTGTATGTATCTATTTCTTGATGTAGAATCTAAAAATTTCTTCGCTAATGAAAAACAAAATACCGTTCTGCCTGTACATTAAAGTATGTTTGTTTCAGTTATATTCGTCATTTTCTATCTCCATTTTCATGTATTTTTGTCGTATCGTCTATGGTGCCATTTTATTGTCCTTTGAATTATGTCAATATTATTTTTTTTAAGTCTTCTGGTTATCTATTTTACTTCAATTATAAATACTGATTTGGTTTGTTCCATTTTTTGTAAACAATTAATAAAGTTTATGTCCTGTTTCCAATTACTTTTCTTTCATTCAGTTTTTTGTATTTATATGAAGGCTTCTCATAATACATTGTACTAAGCTAATGTCGCTTCTTCTTTCTCTTGTGATTTGTTATGCTGAGATTTCTAGATTTTATGAAAAAAAGAATTCTGTACGTGTGTATGTCGATAAAAGTCAAATGATATTCCTTCAATCTTATCATGACCATCATCACTAATAATATTCATTCACACAGTAATGTACTTTCTTACTGTTCTCATTTATTTTCTGTTTTTTTAATACTCACTATTCGTCTTTCTAAGATATTCAAGTCAGTGTTTTGTAGTAGAAATAAAAAGTCATTTTCTTGTTCTTATTTGTTCAGCGTTTTCCTTTTGGATAACAAAACGGTTTAAGTAATTGTTCTCAGATTTACTTTCAAGGCCGTCTTAATGATTAAAAACGGAGCTTTTAACTGCTACGCTAAATTTTTGAACATTGTCCCATCTACTTCATTCTAGGCAGTTGGATATTATTACTGGCCGTTATACAACAACCATTCAAAACTGAATACATAACCCTGTACTTGGTAAATGAGTTACATTAATGTAATATTATTTAGGTTCAAATATTTCTGCACTTACCTTGGTGTAAGTGATCATTTAGTATCACTAGCCGGTGTGCAGAAAATGTATGACACAAAGCGTCATATATATGAGTATTAATGCATGTAGTCCGTTTAGTTCAATAAACTTCTCTTCTCTGTGCGTTAGTTCAAGTAGCTATACCAAACTGTTACTACAAGATAAAATTAACATAATCAATAGCAGAGTAGTCGAAGTAATGGAGAAATGATGGTTAGAGTACAGGTCAAAGAGACAGAATAAAAAGGTATATGCGATGTAATCTTGGGACTGAAGATGTAGAATGAGGTACATTACGTTTGTTGCTTTTATTAATACATGAAACATCTGAAAAAGTAATCTGGATCGGAAATCTGCATTCGAGTAATGTAATGTAAATGCAGAAGTCACAAGCTTCTTTATTTATATTTATGAGTGAAATTACATTGGTCGAGGATCCAACACAGCCACAGGGACAACGATGTAAACATGTAATGAATGAGAACGCCATTGGGAACAATCAAACGCGTTGGAACATACAATTACAGGATCCCTTGTTAAAACCCTAGGACCATACAGTAAATACTTCATTTGCAAAACGTCAATCGGTTGTCTCAGACTTCACTGTTTCTTCATTTTCACATCAATCACTCACTGTTCTCGTTCTCTTCACGAGTGAAGGGTATGGGATAACAATGTCCCAAGGCTAGAATATTCTCGCCTTCCCTACTGCAGTTTATTTTGAACTGTGTTACTCGTAGTTTGCAACTAATAAACCTAACTAAAAGCCATATTTATGAAGCCTATACTTCTGTACGTTACTCGAATTAAGAGAGTAATTTCATATGCCAACGTTGCGCTACGATTTGGCCACCCACAAAACCCCTTCTGATTCTAATCAACATATGCTTACTAGTGACTGACTTCAAGAGGTATATCCTGGAGTTCTAGTGAGAAGCAGCGACCAGTGGAGTTCAACTGGGTCAGTTGTGAGATGGTAACTCACTGATGACAATGGTGGATGTGTCGCTCAATTTCGTGGATTAGTTGAGGTTAGACATTAACACCGTCGGATGCCGGTTCAGTTGTCTAGTTAGTTAAGTGGATGGCTCGAGACTGATAGGTCCTGGGCTCGAACCCCGCGAGGCGGGGTCGCGGATGCGCACCGCTGAGGAGCCTCACAATAGGACGAAACGGCAGCCCAGTGCTTCCAGGCATTGCCACTTGTTTATATACGTATATGAAATTATCAAATTAATTTCCAAATCAATCATCACAATGAAATAGAGTAGTCGAAAAACAATCTGGACGATACACAGTTATAGCCACTTAAGATTAGTTCTATTGGTAGAGTAGGTCTAGCAACGTTTTTCCAGGAAATCAGTACGCTTTTTACTTAGTTTCTAGCTCAAAGAATAATTGTTCGATATGTAAACATTAAGAAATTCTTATTAAAGTCGAGTTAAACTTTGTAACAAATTTATGACCAAATGAAAAAAAATGATGAGAATCTTCTCAGGATGTATATACGCCAATAGAGACGATCAATTACAGTCTTTAACATCAACAACGGGAAAATACATACCGTTACAAATTAGGAACTTTTACGTGGAATTATCAAAATCATTCAAAAACATGTTACTATATATTGTTAGCCATTGGGCTTTTGATTAATATCAGTTTTGTATTAAAACTGCTAAATCTCTGTGTTATATCAAAATGTGATTTATAAAATACAGACCAATTTAAAAGTGTTCAAGGTTCTCTATAAATTTTTTAAAATTTTTACTACGTGTATCATACAAATATTTGTGTTCATTAAGTAGATGAATTCTAGATGTCAGAGAATAATTTTCACTGAAGATCTGTTTTCAAACTCTAACGTTTACTATATCTTTGATTTTTCTTCAATATGTTGGACTATGTTACACCAAATACGCCCATACAGTTAGATACAGACAACTCTAGCCCTTGTTGCAATTGTCTATAGCGAAAACCGACAGGGATAACAGTTTAGAATTTAACAGTTTCTTTATTTTGAAAAGTAGATTCGACAGATGAGTAGATTTTGAGCAACATAGTTATAAATATAGCATTCTAATATTGTCCGAATTCGATTATACCTGTTTTTATCTGACTACAAACTGATGAACAAAAGTGGTGTAAATTTATATTGCGAACTGATGATTAGTTAATCGTTTAGTTAAGGATAAAAACAAACATTAAGAATCATTCAGCTTATCAGATAACACTCGTTAAATTATAAATGAAGATTTGCACAATAAAGTATTTTCTGTAAACACTGTATACATTATTATTCTAGATTAAAAGTGTGCTAGGAGACTGATGTAAACAGGTAAGAAAAGATCCTTCTTGTTTACAGATTTGCTGATGATATTTTACTAATGATGTCTGAAAAACAACGAGAACTTCAACCTGTAATCATTTGTAATTTCTTAACACAACCATTATAATATTATTTAATATAATTGATACAATGATGAGGTGAATAATTGCTCAAAACAATCCGACATGAAAAAAACACATTGTACATTCAAACATGTTAGTTCTTGTTATCTCATAAAATACAATAAGACAAAAGTTTATTTTTCAGTATACAGTCCGAACTGATCTTAGCTAGACAACCATCAAATTCCAGAAAGCACTGTACGACCGTTTTATATTTTTATTGGACTCATTACTAGCATACATCCCGTTAGGTAGATCCGTGATGTAAGACATTAAAGTCGGAAATGATCAAAACCTCTTCCCCGTATTAATAATAAATGACTCATTAATGAATATTTTCGATACGTATTTCCAGTAGTTATCATGAGAGAATGTAGCCAGTGAAGTTTAGGCATATTAAAGTTGAGCAGATAACAACCGATTCAATTCGTGAGTGGTTGCTTAATATCGAGAATCGGTTGAAATTAGATGTGTCCATCACTAGATCCCGAATCAACAGTTTGATGGTTTTAGTTCTCACCAGAGGACACGATTCTCATGAGTGTGACCCTTGCTATGGTAATGAATGAGAACTGTCAAAGGCTACCACTCTAGGACAAATAGCTATCTGATCCTAACAAATCGTTTTATACAGAATTAAGTTCGTTATGATTTGGATGGCTGGATCAAGTAACATAAATGCTAGTATATATTTAACAATTTTTATTCGCACTACTAATAAGTAGTATGATCAATTTTAAAAAATGTGTGGTCATAGTTCTTTAGATACCATTAAATAAATTCTTACAAACAATTCAGTTATGGATGACACTAACACATGTTTGATAACGAATAATTTCATCCACAACGTACAAAGTTCGAAGTAAAGAAACTGAATTATTCTTTCTTCGTTCAGCATAATCGAAAATTCATAAAGTGGAGGCATGTTTTAATATTATTCTACATTAACTCCAAGTTTATACAGTTTTTCTCGAAAATCCAAGTGACGTTTAGTAATCTTCGAAATCTTTAGACGTCATTGTCTTCTTCTGACCTGGATTCAGTTATGTTACCCAATATCTGATAACATTAATTATAGTCTATAGACTGAATTGAAGCGGCTTCCTGAGTCACTAAATTGGTCTCATTATGCTCGTTAAGATATCAAAAATTGGCGTTACACAATTGACGTTACTTCCATTTTTGTTAAGCAATTTATTTGTTCATGCTGAAGAACAAATTAAAAAAGGGACAGATAGTTGTTATTTGCATTTCAGAGAATGTTTCCCGGAAATAGAGACTTAGAGGTCAATATACTTCTGATGGTGCGATCCTCCATCATTTACTTGATAGTGGACAAAAGTTGATATTTCAAGATCATTCAAAATTGTCATTAAGGAAACAGCTTTGAACTTTCTGCATTTTGCTGGAACTGAAAGGTTTAGACTGAATTAATATATTGAAAAAGAGATTGCTATCAGTCTTTTACTGGTTCAATTACATTTAATTGCGTAACATCTCATTTTGTATTTGCAATTACAAATTTATTTTATCCAGCCTTTCTTAAATCTTATCTGAGCTTTATTCATATTCATATTATGGTCAGTTCTGTCTTTTTTTAGTTATTGTTATATAACTTTTGACGTTACTTTTGTTTTTCCTAATCTGTCTCAGTAAATGTTAGGGTTTTTTCTTGAATACTTACATTAATCTATAGGAAAATATCTATCCAAATGAACGCTTAGAATTCCTATAAACTTATCGTATTTCTGTCATTCTTCACTTGATGAGAACTTTTCCAATAAAAAGTATGTACAGTTCTGTATCTCAGTAATTAATATTAGTAGTTCCAGATTGTAAGCAGATAAAGAAAAATCATGAAATAAACGAATTCATGTTGTGGTATTACGCTTGTTCATAATTTACGTAAATTTGACGTCAGTCTATTCATATTTCTTACCTATGAGTGCATGAGATCGTGTTCATTGCCACTGATTGGTCTAGAAAGGAACATTTTCTCTTACTTAGGATTCTTCCTAGAGTGAATGCAGGGTACAGACAAATACTAGACATTTAAACTGATCTTCTGCCATGGAAGACAATTTGAACCTCTCACATTCTCGGTTTACAACTCTTTCATGTTTCGCCCAGTCATCTCCTGGTTCTATAGTTATCTCTAATCATTGGTAACGGATATTAAATAGAGATGACTGTTCTCCAAAGATCTGAGACAGGGTTTTAATTGTTTCATCAAAATCTCGTGGGAAGAATAAAATTACTATAGTGTTCATATTTCGTCAGCCCAAGTTTTCTTAAAATTATTCAAACTTTTGAGGCGCCATTCAGTCTGCAGAGATCAATATGTAACAGATCTTCATATTTTTTAAACCAAGAGTCAAAAGTAATAACTGCTGCACCATTAAAATTAAATTCATGGTTTGCATTAATGACTGAATCAATATGGGATACTTGTAATTCACCAGAAGCAGGGTTTTGCTGGGACAGACACATTTTCTGCATAAGGGCTTCCATGATTCTGACTTGAGACTGTTCAAACTGTTTCTCTTGGCGCTACATATATAGGCTTCTAGTAGCCTCAAAGAAAAATTCATTTTAGTTTTCCCCGTCGTCATAATAGATTTTTTAACTGAATGCTAGATTCAGTCCCTATGCTCACCTAGTAACCCCCAGGCTAAATCTACACAGCGACTTGAACACGAGAGAAAAGTGCGAAATATGGAAGAAACACATTATTCCAGAGGTTCTTGTTTATGTACGGAAAATCTAGGGTTTTTATAGTATTTTAGATGACCTTGGGTCTCCGGTAAATTCCTGAACGCTACTAAACATAGTAGCAGTATGGGTAATCATCCAATCAGAAACTCGACATGCGACTTTTCACTTTCTAAATGTTTCTGGCAAACTTTCTAGTGAATGCTAATTTGATAAGATGCTTCTCAGCGTTTCCAGAGCGTTTTTCGGCTTTTTCCGAGTTTTCTTGTTCTTCCCAACAAACATCTAAGTCTTTTTGACGGTAGTAGCTTATGATATTAACATAACCGCATATAAAGGCATTGTATAATAGTTGTTTGATATATTCATAGACTCCATTCGTTATTTCCTTATTATCCATGATAATCAGGGTATGACAATAAGATGTATTATTATTATAATTATTACAATAAACTGGAGTTGAAAATATACATTCTTTGTATAGAAAGCATATAACACTACTTGGATCTTTCAACAATTACTTAGCTAAACATATTTTCTCGCCATTACAAAAGAAATAAGAATGAACCATTGGATAAAAATGAACATCTACTCCGGAATCGTATAAATGACAATATTTCGAAAACTTGCTCTCTTTTTTTAACTTTAATGATCAAAGAATTTATAATGGTGTTTGACTTACAAAAGATCAATATACAAGTCAATTATGTAACGAACTAAATCTGTACAATTTAACATTTTTCATTCAGTAATTACCTGATTTCTGATGTTCATAGTTTTCCTATAAAATTACAGGATAATTAGTTTAGAGAATGAAAGAGTTCATATTAAGAATTGTTCAACCAATCATTAATAATAATTGATTGTTTTAACGAACAAATAGTAAATACTTCAGAGAGACTATAATTTGTGGACGAACCAATCAGGTATAAGATGACAGGTCTCGGATTTCGACGCGAAATTCACTCAGCCATTTGGTTAAATAGAGTTTTGGCATCATAGCTGATTACAGTTCATGATGAAAAACCTAAGTCTAATTCCTAACCTTTACCATCAACTGTAAATCACAATTCTAATTCCTCACACTGGTTTATAACTCTCATTTGGTCCTAGTTATTAGGTGGATACTCTCAAGGTCAGCTTAGCGTCGCTCGAAGGTCGCCCATAAATTATAGTCTCATCAATATCTCTTTAAAAACACTTTTTATGAAAAGAATTTCAATTAAAAGTTAATTTACACTGAAGAATGACTTTAATTGAACAATGAAGTGGTTTTTACTTCTTAGTTTCAGACTATTCTATAGTGTGCATCCGAAATATCATGATAGAGTAAAAACCATGATAATTTTGTATCACCGGAAAATATTCTGTCCATTCAGTTGGCATTGCACGATTTTTTAATTCTTTTGTCTCCCGAACCTCAATCAGAATAAGAAAGACATCTTATTTGACTCACACGATTACATACATCATTTGAAAGATTCCAATGCATTACAAACAGGAAATCACAGCATGTACCTATCTGAGACTCGAAAACTAGGCTATCTGGTTTTCAACCTTAATGGGAGCACCAGTTTTCTCGCAAGTGCAAGTAAGATTTTCTGATAAGTACCAACTAGCACGAAACCTAGGTTTAGAATTCTCCTCCAACAATGTACAACCACCTAACATGATTAGTATAAACTTATCTATAGGGATTCTCCTTCATAAATTCAAACATGTTACCAATAATTCATCCGTGGGTTTAATGTAAACCATACCAACTACCAAAGAATTACAACTGTATCTCATAAACTCTACTACTGTAATCTCTTACACAGATATTTTCTTTGCTTTCAACCGTTTTCTCTAAGACCAAAAATAAAAGAAATAAATAAATAAACCTGAAACAAATTCTCTGATAACTGTGTTTATATTTTAGTAAAGTTAATAAAATCAAATTTCAGTAGTCATCAAAAAAATAAGTTTAATTATATGTGCATAGATGTATATGTTAACGTCCTTATGCATTTATTTGTGAATGTGTTTTCATTAGTAACTACGTTTCTGAATGATGGTACAATAATTTACAAAGGGATTTTTTCAAGAAATAATCAGTGTTACAGTTAATTATTTTTGTTGAACCATGACTAAGCAAATAACTATTGCCATTATAACAACATAAATAGGAATTACAGTGATAATAACCTTGGCTTCTTATCTTTTGTTTATACTTTTACGATGTTATTTTTCTTCGTTAGTATAAAAAGTACAATGAATAAAAATAGATTCGAATTAAGCACTTATCCGTACATTGTTTATTAAACATTCCATGAAAACCAAACCTCTAATTTCTCCTATTAGTTTACATCAGAGTAATCAATTAAATTCAACGAAAAAGAAACAGTATACCAGATGCTGCGTCAATGCTGAATATTCAGTTTGTAATGGTAAAATCACTTGATGATTATGATCAATTCATAATACGACTAAGAAAATAGTTAAGAATGGTTGTGCTTAAGTAGAAATCATCACTGTATGCTATTTGTGTTGAATAATAGAATTATTACTTTCAACTGTGAAACTAAGAAGAATAAGGATTACATCTAAATGAACAATACAGAATAATTAATACGTTCATTAGAAACCGGAATATAGGTATATCATTTCATAAATTGAAAACTCTATGATGCGAAAGGATTCAAATTTGGCGGTGCTACAACACCCATATTTAAATTATTCTCAGAAAATAAATAATCTGAATGACTTAGGCATAAATTTGAATGGTGACAATTGATATGACCATTTGATATACAGAAGCTACTTTTTATACTTTTAGATATGTTATCATCAGTGCAATTTTTAGAAGACTGATCAAACAAATGGATTTGTTGCTTATCTTGTTGTTGTTTCTTTTCACAATGTGCATGGCCATTTTTTCGTTGACTTAAAATATCACGTACACTTGGTCGCCGTGAAACTGCATGAGGATAAATTTCATTCAGATTAATTTTACAATTTTCAATCTCACTCTGTTTGTTTCTTTTTAGATATTGCTGTGAATAACCATGGACTGGAGAGTTTCTCATGTGAGGCTTGCTATTAAATAAACATAGGGGAATCTTCTGCTCTCCTATCTAAAGAAATTAAAGTAGAAAACAAATTTAACATTAAAGAGAAACTATTCGTCATACGATACATTAGTCACTTGTTTTTCTGTCAACCTACTTATAAGTAGTATAAAATTATAACTAAAAGTATATCAGGTTCTTTCGTATTCAAGTTACAGGAAGCTTCAGGAAATCTCCATGTTAGTTTTCAGTATAATTTATAAACGTTTCTCGAGAGGATGGACAGAAATTTTTATTATAAATTCTTGTTCTATTCATCTCCCTACGATCTGTATATCTATTTCAAGATTTACATAATAAGTTTATAAAAATGAGAAAACTAAATCGTAAACATCGTGTATAAGTTTCCAAACTTCTATTCACTACATAGAACATACCATGTTAAAGTATAGACATGTTTATATTCATCTAAATTTGTTATCTAAGCTTCCTATAGTTTTAATAATCCTTCAAGTGAACTTATCAAAATGTAACAAACTTTGAAACGAATGCTTCAATTACAACCCTGTGTCTAAAAAATTACGTGAATGATTCGGTGTAAAATTTTACTCAAACCTCCTCCTGGTGTTCTGTTGATTGACGGGCCTTGCCTTATAAACCACCTTGAGTGGTCGATGGAGATTAGTTTAGTCAACCACTATCTTCGTGAAACCACATTTACCTCGTGATGGACGAACGCTTGATTCTTGTGTATCCACTTTGAGATTCAGGGTCCATTTGATCTGTACCTTTCGGGTGTGCATATAGGGTGTGTTTCAGGAAAGATCCTCCGAGAAAGACTTTATTTGTGCTTTCTTGGTAGTGCATGCCTCTCTTACCCAGTATTTCACATACACATGTAATGTGTAATTACATAACTGTGACTTACTGCTACATATGGTCTATCTTTGTATGGAAATTGCGTACAATTTATATTTGTCACAAGGAATAGCTTGTATCTACACTGTTCAGACCCAGTAACAAATACTATCTATTGTATTAGAGATCATCTTACTCGAAGTAGCATCTATGCCAGTGCGTATACTGTAGAATGCATAAGTCCATTTAGTTTGAATCTTTCAGATGTCCATCGAACGTATACTTGTCAAAAAGAGTGGCTTCCATCTTCTCTGTTGAACACAGTAGTAAATCCTAACAGTTATCTCTAGGAGTTTCCTGACCAGTTCAGCACCTAAAACATATCTTAACCCGGATATTTAGGCCCGCGGCAATGCATAAACATTTTCAGAAAAGCCAATCGAATTATCCAATGCAGGGTATACTAACTTTCCTTACTGGAAAAGGCACATGAATCGTGTGAAATTTATGTAAAGATTTAACTACGTCTCGTATCTACTGAAACAGGAACTATCTGTAGTATTTATTTGTTAAGTAAATTTAATTTGGCTATGATAAAAGACTTATCAAAGTTTACTGCACTTAACATTCAGCTTCGAAGATAATTGGATTAGACACTCAAGTTAATTAATAACTGTTCAGTTCAATAAAAACGAGGTTTGATAAAACCCCAGTTCTGCAGAACTGATTGTATCTGTGCAAGTGAAACTAAGAAAAGAGAGGTGAAGCTGATAAACAAACAACGGACAAAGAATAGATATCCTCTGAAGTTAATAAACCAAAGAATATGCTACAAAATTTAACAACTAGTCTGTTTCCTGCATCATATACAGGATATAACTGATGCCTAGAATATATTTCAATGTAATCGTGTAAAATCAACCAGTCTATTTCATCACATTTTCTCAGCCTTACTTTTGCCTTAGGTTATCTGAATGTTGTTTGGTCATTTGATATACATAAGAAATCTATGAATTTATTCTAGTAAAGCAGGGACTTCACCTCATCAACTTCGTCATGATTTTGAAGCCAACTCCAATTTTCAGGGTTTGTACAATTAGCAGTTAAATTTTTAGTTGATTAAAGCCGGCTAATAAGTTCATTTATCTAGCTTTGAGCTACAAGTTTATGTAAAGACTAATAATACTATCCGACTTCCCAAATATACGTAACCAAAGTTGGCTTCGAACTTAGAAACTAGTGGTTGAATTCAAGTATTTAAATAATCAAATCACAACTTCATTGTCAAAGAATATAGTGTCTCAAGTCTAATCCATAGATATAGACAACTGGTTAGCTACTAAGTTGCTATTCTTTTATATCTGTGATTCTTATGTCTCCATTTTTTTAGTTTAATCTTCTTTTTTCATACATATATATTTTAACAAAATAATGTGTGGTAAGATTTTTGCTGGAAATGAATTAAGCTAATAAATATCAGATAATTTTGATAAACCGTCTTTTTCATTGGATTATCCAACTTACACACGGGAACACACTGATTTTTGTGGATTCTCATTTTCTAAGCTGAGTGGAGTATTTATAAAGCTTTGACCGTCTTTCTAGACAACATTGTTAGCATAAACTTTAGATAAGAGTGAGCGATTCAAAATTTTATACAAATGTCTAATACCTTGTTCTCTCAATCTTGAATTTGATTGTCGATTGTTTACACTCGTCCTATGATTATCATCAGATGTTATTCTTTTAAACACATAAACAGTCAAAAGGAAAATTTGCTGATTTAATAGATTATTTGGGTAATCTTCCATACTACAAAATGTATAGAAATAGACTGTTATGATGTTCCATTCAAAAAGGATCATGGAATTATTATCCTCGAAATATCTAGCTTAAAAGGAACAAAACGTCATCAACATACAGGAAGACTTCAGCCTTTAGAAAATAAGCTCACTATTGAAGGTTTGTTGAAAGACCTAATGATGCGGTGTTGATGTTGTGAACATGCACTAATGAAAAGTTCTATACTAAGATGAACCAAATGTCCAGTTTTGAATAATGCACTAACGATTATCAATCCTTGACGAAAACAACCTGCAAATAAGACGTGATATCTTAATTAAAACTTAAATGCGTCAAGTGATTTTCACTTGTGAATTTCTTTTTTGTTCTCTTTTTCTCAGTATCGAAAAAAATAAACATACAAGCAGATAAGAGATAAAGACGTTTACATAATGATAGGCATAATATGACAAATTGTCTGAAATCAGAGACTTCACTCTATCTAAACTCAGTGATTGTTCTCTCTCTCTCCATTAAAATCTGTCTATCTGTATGTCACTGAGTCTGAACAAGATAGAAACGGTGTTTTAGTCAAAAGTTTCCTTTATTTTTAAGAAAAAAATAACTTCATTTCATTATTTATTTGTCTAGACATCTAGAAAAAAACGTTAATCAGCTATATATATATATATATATATATATGGACTTAATATTATAAAAACAATAAAACACAATTGTTTGCTAAAAATCAAAACGGAAAACATTCACAATCATAAAATTAAATTAATCGCAATTTTTTACTGATTTTCATCTAAACATAAATATAAATGAACATTGGCATCTGTCTACCTTATCTGTTTCTCCATGTCACTGTATGTACTTTTTATGTCAAGCACATGGGTGTATACTTTTGTGTAATTATAATTCACTATATCCTCATTTTCAATCATTCTTATTATATAATCTGAACTTGATAATGAATAGAAATAATTAACTGACTAATCCATCAGTAATTTGAAATATCTGTATCATAAAATTATCTTAGATTTTCGTGAATATTAAATAAGTTGCAGCTAGCAACTGAATCCATGAAATTCATTTCGTTCTATTTGAGACTCGTCTACTGAATGAATCTTAATGTTGATGTTCCACTGCTTGTCACTATCTAACATTATTTAGAATTTGTTATTAAAATGTGATATCGTGGGAATGTGTTTAAGATTCACATATTCTAATAAGGATTGATTAATTGCTGTTTTTAACAGTAACAAGAAAATGTAAACAACGCTCAAAATTATTGGTTGTTGTTAAATCTAGTTGTCTTTGCAACTCGTGATTTCAGTTAAGTTAAGAAATTTTGAAGTTCATTAAAAGTTTACCATTCCATATATTTCCAATATTAAGTCAATATTCTATTTTATTAACTTGAGGATAAAAATCACTCCTAAAAGATAAATTGAACGGTTCTTGTCATTCCATTTTTGATAGATTATTATTTTGAAATATGACTTACATTAGTTGAGGACAATCGTTGAAAGTAAGCTAGCATTAGACAATTGATTTATCATAAATTCCGGTTTACTAAGCGATTGGAATGTGCTTACATAACAAATGGAATTAATGTAAAATCCATAGGTCGTTGTAACGAATACATATACCTCAGTGCCACTAAATACCCAATAGGTTTTTTCGATTCACTGGAATTGGATGTATTTTCTTATTTTACTGTTTTGTGAATATTAATTTAGTTTTACTTCAATTTGAAATAGAGATCAGTTTCTTTTTGGAAAAAAGCGATATACTATAGACACATAGTAACAAAAAGAAAGATTTATAAACCTATTTGATTTGATTTTGTCTAGACAGTTTACTCTTACCGTTATCATTATTTAAGACATCATGGCTTTCATTAGTGCTTAGCATTCCATTATGATTTCGTTGGTAAAAAGAAACGTCTAATTGTTGTTTTTCTTTTACTCTAAATAAATGTATATCAGAGATTAATTTACATTTTGAAAATGGATTTTATTGTGAAATGATATCGGCTGAAAGTTATTTTTTTTGAAAACTTAGAGACTATTCGCTCTAGTTGGAGATATTACGGTACAGCATATTTATAAATGGATATAATATACGATAGTTACAATAATTTACGCAAATTAAATCTTCATTATGTCATTAAGACATGGAAATGACACAGTATAGATGTAAAGAGATGTCAGAAGTTTATTCTTTCTAATCATTATTATGTTGGTTCAATAAACTAAAAAAGAATGAGTCATATTTTCTTAGTTCATGTTTAAATTTCAGGTAAATTATGTTCATTAGAGAAATGACTCATTGCTGGTATCCGGTTTTATACATAAAATTGATATGTGGTGTACAGTTGGTTAGTCATCGATACTACTTTACTAATCCCTTGATAA